TGAAAATGTTTATAAGATGTTTCTCTATCATATGCCAAAATATCATGGTTTAAATGCTCTCCTAAGTGTCTATAACTGAATTTTAGGGCAATAACCTTATTCTAAATGTTGGGAAAGTAGAGTAACCATTGTTGGGGTGCCCTTCTTGGCCTCCTGAGTACTCACCAAGATACCCCCAGCTCCCGCAAAACACCTCCCTTAGGTGCGCATTACCTGACGGCATTATTTTGCAATTATTTCAAATTTTTTAGATGTCTTTTGTTATAAGTTTGTTAACTAAAGACTTGAAAACAGCTTACCGCTTCAAGCTGCTCTCTTCCCGGTTCCTCTGCCGCAATCTTCTGTTTGATTGTGCGCAAAGCTCTCCTCCTTGTGAACTTTGCCTGACAGATACACCTGGGAGACAGCATTCGGACATCTTACCGCTTCAAGCTGCTCTCTTCCGGTTCCTCTGCCGCAAATCTTATGTCTGATTGGCGGAAAGCTCTCCTCCTTGTGAACCATGGCTGATAGAAAGAACTGAAAGACAGGATAGGAGGAATATGCCGGTTCAAGTTAACTTGCAATATGCTTCTGATTAGTGATTTTAGATGAAAGATTAGCGAAATCGCATTTAATTTGGATAGAAGGATTCAATTTTATGAAGCAGGCTCGTAGAAAATATGCAGGAATAGCACAATCTTCCGCATTCATAACTTGAATGCGGAAGTTTGACCGACAAGAGTGTATTATGCACTCTTGTCGGTCTGCATGTCTCATTCCGGGAGACATTGTCACTGCATGTCTCCCGGAATGAGACAATCTTCTGCAATCAGAATGTGGTTGCAAAACTTTGACCGACAAGAGTGTATTGTGCACTCTTGTCGGTCTGCATGTCTCATTCTGGGAGACATTGTCACTGCATGTCTCCCAGAATGAGACAATCTTCCGCATTCATAACTTGAATGCGGAAGTTTGACCGACAAGAGTGCACAATACACTCTTGTCGATCTAAATGTATCTTACAATCAAAGACACTTTCATACAATCTTTTCGAAGTTAAAAAAAAATTTAATTATTTCTTTCTTTTGTTTATTAAATCGCCTTACTCACGTACTAATCTCTTTTAGAGACTCTATCGAGTTATCTCCACATATAAACCCGTGACAATAATACATATTTACTCTCTTCATATTCTAGTCTCATGGCATATTATTGCAAAAGCTATATTTATACAGCATACCTCATAAAGTCTCATTATATCCCTATCTAAGCGTTCAAAACCTATTTTCCCCACGTAATCTGATTCTTCAGGCTCCGCTGATTCGATTTCTGCTGTCAGATCGTGAAAATATGAATCACATAACAAGATAAACACAAGTTACCCAATTTGATATTTTCCGTAAAAAACCTTGTTATGAAGAGAGTAAATATGTATTATTGTCACGGGTTTATATGTGGAGATAGCTCAATAGAGTCTCTAAAAGAGATTAGTACGTGAGTAAGGCGATTTAATAAACAAAAGAAAGAAATAATTAAATTTTTTTTTTAACTTCGAAAAGATTGTATGAAAGTGTCTTTGATTGTAAGATACATTTAGATCGACAAGAGTGTATTGTGCACTCTTGTCGGTCAAACTTCCGCATTCAAGTTATGAATGCGGAAGATTGTCTCATTCTGGGAGACATGCAGTGACAATGTCTCCCGGAATGAGACATGCAGACCGACAAGAGTGCACAATACACTCTTGTCGGTCAAACTTGCCCACATTATGAATGCGGAAGATTGTCTCATTCTGGGAGACATGCAGTGACAATGTCTCCCGGAATGAGACATGCAGACCGACAAGAGTGCACAATACACTCTTGTCGGTCAAACTTCCTAATACAAAATTTGATTCCCTTATTATCTTCTTAACAAAACTTAAGATTTCAATAATACATCATGAAAACATTCATTTACTACATTCACACTGTTATTCCTTTCTATAAATTAACTCATTTAATAGAATCTTGTTTTTATATCTTATTATTTTCTCATAATACTTCTAATTCCTCTATTTCCTCTTCCACATAAAATTTAATTTTGTAATGCTATCATATACACTTAATGTTTTCAAATTTTCAGATTTAAATTTAATCTTTATTTTCATCATCATTTATAATCTTGTTCCTATATAAAGTTATAATAAATTATCGTCAGATTCTAATATTTATGATTCTTACTACTCAATTCAATATAATTATGTTAGTCACTCATATTCAGGAGAATAATTTAAAAATCTATAGCTCATATTTTGATAGTTATATATTTAGATGATATATATTGCAATTCCGGTTTCAACACGATCAAATGCCAAACCAAGACAAAATATATATGAATTTTCAAAATATCGATTTACATTAGAATCTATATCTAATTTTATCAATACACAAGTAGGGAATGTTCAATACATCTTTGAGCAACGTGAATAGCACAATTTTATAGGATTATTGTTGATTATATAAAATATAAGCCAAATCGAATCTGCTGTATAGTACTTTAGTTTATCATTGAATGTTAAATGTGTTCAGATAAATATTTGAGTCAGATATCGCATTTTCTAATTTCAAAATTTATCTCATGAAGTTAGAATTTATTTGATCATACAACATCATGTTAGTCAAACTAGAGTTCAATGGCGATTCTAAAATGGAACAAATGCTTGTTTTATCAAAATGTTAAAATATTAATCTAAAAAACTTAATATCTAACCAAACCATTCTAGAATTATTATATACAGGTATAGGCAATCTAAATGCACACGGAATTCGGAAAATTAAAAAGAATATTTATGAGATTATTAAATCTTATGTAATTCAATGAAAAGTAGATAATATGAATATCTATAGGCTATATATCAACATATGAGTTTTTGGTTTGACCAATACTATACTAATGTGATCAAATTAATCTGATTTCTTAGATTTTCATTTGAAGCATTTGCAGTAGTAGGGGTACCTTTATATATTAACATATTAAAAAATTGCGCTCCGATTCGCAGTTTCTTCATGATTTTGAGATTGCATTAGATTTCGCGAGGCAGAAAAAAATCACTTTAGATTCCCGTCAAACTCGAAGTATAAGCATGTCTCTATATGTAGAAACTGTCTGCGCTATTTATTTCCCGGCTCAAAAAACCACGGTGTCTGTGTGAGGAAAATACCCATTTTAGGACCCTGGGTAGGGGGTCATGAAAATTTTCCAAGAGTTGGAAATATAGGGTATCAATTCTCTGAAAATGCAAGAAAATTCAACAAAAACTAGATAAATGTATTTTAAATATTAACGAGGTGCTGTATATATTATAATATTTGAACTTCAGTAATCAATAATTATTTTGACACTTTACAAATAGACTCTGACTTCATCAAACAAAGCTTCTCAATTTTTGTTCCCCAGCGTCCCCCACTTGGGGGACGCAATCAACCCCCGGGGGGACAAAACAACATCCTTAGGATATGATAATATAACATTGAGAATTAAAACCATTTTTTTGTCACATTGAAATTACATAAAAATTTCAACTTGACTTTATTTTGACATCAATGAATATCATAAATAAATAAGGTAGAATAATAAGAATAGTCGCTGAAAGTTCAAAAATAATTCATAAAACATTTCAAAAATAATTCATAAAACAATTAAATTTCTGTGAACTGATTAAAAGGTTATTTCATTGAAAATTATTTGACTGTCAATTTTAATTTTTTTTACTTCTACAAAGTATTTTATTATTCGACTCATAATTGAGAAATACATCCACATTATATAAATATAAAGGTATCAATGCTTCTCATTCAACTCCTTACGAAGTTTTCCTCAAACGAGGAAATCATCTTTTTGAATTATGGGGTGGTTCAGGAAACGATATAGTTTTATCTAACCCAATCAGGAGTGCATACGTAAGCGGCTATGTTGTATTCCGTCATTCCATTAAACTTTACCTACACGTAGGATCACAAGCTTATAAAAATGCCTCTTTTCCATCATATGGTGGAGGAGGTCCAGGCCAAATATCAGGTGGTGGCTCATCTGATATCCGACTTCTTCCAGGTGATTATGGCGACTTTTCCGGTCTTAATAGTCGAATTATTGTTTCATCGGGCGCTGGATCAAGTGACGGTTGTTACGAAACGGGTGGTCCTGGTGGTGGATTGATTGGCTATAATAGCACTGGCAACTATGGCCGAGGTGGTACGCAAATATCAGGCGGCGAAGGAGGTATTAAAGGAAGATTTGGTTTCGGTGCCGGAAATGAATCTCGACGATATGATGGTCATACACCGGATGGCAATGCAGGAGGTGGTGGGGGCTATTTTGGCGGCGGAAACTCATATTTACCAGGAAATTGTGGTTCAGGCGGAGGGAGTTCCTTCATCAGTGGCCATAAAGGTTGTATTGCTGTTTTAGAATCATCAGAATCAGAAGAAAATCTGAAGTTTTCAGAATCATTTGATCCATCAATTCATTACAGTGGAATCCAATTTTATCACACCGTCATGATTGATGGCACAGGTAATATGCCAAATCCTCTTGGTGGTAACGAAACGGGCCATTCAGGCGATGGTTTCATTCGAATCACCCAAATCTATCTCCTTGATTGTCCTAGTTACAAATATCATTACTTTGCATTACCTTTCTCATCTTTATTTTTATTCAATTTAATAAATAAATCATAAACATGATCAACAGAATGAGATTAAGAGAGCAAATGCTTTATTCTAATTAGATATTGTTCAAAAAACACAAAATTAGAGTTCATCATTGGCATTGAGTGTAACTTGAGTTGTTTTCACATTCTATTTAAAGGCTAAGAGATCTAATTTGACATTTTGTCGATTTTGTGCAGCTACAAAAGATTTAATATTTTTAGGATCTGCAATTCGATTTTTTTTTAAAAGAAGAAAATCAAGCATCCAACATTTTATGACATCAATAAAATTCCTACTATTTCTAAAGAATGTATCAGTCCATTGTTCATGTCTATTCCGGAACTTCTCAAATCTGGTATGAGGACATCATCACATATCAACGAGAAACTCGAATCCGAGAAGAACTCTAAACATATTTTTTCATTTTGTAATTCATTGAAGAAATTCCAAAATTCAGAATTTGTTTCATTTAGTGCTAAACTTAAAGTAACAAGTTCGCACAAGAAGTCAATTTGTAATATCCACAACATCATCACTCCACAAGTCATGTCTCTTAAAGCTAAGCACGTCATCTTTGATGGCGAAAGTATCCGATCATCACCATTAATGAGTCATCGTCTTCAATGTTCACGTGATTTGATTTTCCAACTTGACATTTCATCGATGTCTATCATTGTTACATCTATTCGCAGTGGTAATGTTGTTTTCCGACGTACATCACCAAAATTTGTTTACAGCACTGGCTTTTCACTTTCTGAGAACGGCCTGTTGTTAGTTGTTGATTACGCATTTTGTTTATCACGTTCATTCCGAATCAAATACGAATTTGGTATTCCTACCGAGATTTCATCATTGTCCGCCATTTCATTACCATCTAAACCTATTTCAGACATATGTGGATATGATTGTATTGTTGTTACATCATATTCATCCACATTTGTTATTTGGGATGCATTTTCAAGAACAATCCACCGCAAAGTTGATTTTTCAGAAAACATTGTTACATCCAAATTTGATGAATCTAGTGGTCTTGTCTGGGTTTTGACCGAGATTTCACTTTATTTGTATAGTATCAATGGCAGTCATCTCGCCCATCGTGAATTCAATAAATCTAAGACATCATCACTTAGTGTTTTTCGATTATCTAATTCCGAATCTATTCGCTATTCATTAGTTGGTTTTGTTAATGGCAATATTATTTTAACATCATATCGAGCGGATTATTCATTCATCGAAATTAAAGAATTAGAAAGTCCTCACCAACATAAAATCATTTCTCTTCAAATCCACGACAGCAACACATGTTTTACATCTAGTGACTCCGATCTTAATGTTACATTATGGACATCTATTGGTGTTGTTTCACCACATTTTCGTCACGAACTATTAACACGATGTCCTATCTGCGGCTCTATTTCATCTGAACAATGTCAATCATGCTCACGTCATTGCTGCAAACGCTGCTGCATGAACGGCACATGTCTTTTTTGCACCGGATTATCTCTCTATGTTTAACTATTTATATATAAATAAATTTTATTCATTTGTTTGTTTCTTATATAAAACTATTATTTTTTTATTATTATTACATTTATTCATATTCTATGCAAGATTTATTCTAAGTCACTGTACAATATCTCTTTATATATGTTGTGCAATCTCTCTTTCAATGAGTTATTTTTCTCATTATTTTATGAATATTTTATTAAAGATAGATTAATTATGAACTTATAATATATTCAAAGTATCATAATCGATCAATCTTTTTAATGAAACTCAAATGTTGTAATAATTTAGATTTTTACAATCGAAACATATATTTTTATAAAAATAAAGATAAAATGAGAGATAATAACAGATAGTATGAGAGATTGCACGCTGACAAATAATAAACATAAATAGAATATGAATATTTGATTGTCATTAATGATGAAATTTGCTCATGTTAACTTGAAGTTTTTCATTTAAGAAGGAAAAAATGACAAATAAGACATGATTGTTCTTCACATAGTTATAAAAGATGCTATATACATTGAATAGACAATGCTTTACACTTTGTAACTCAAATTCGATAAATCAAAATAATTTATGAAAGGAATCATCAAATTTACTTGTAATGAAGGCGACAATATATTGCCTTATTGATGGTCATCACATCAATCAGTCATCAAAAATGATAAATGCCAGAAAATTGTTTTATTTAGGAATTTTTATCAAAAAATACCAAAAAAATTTCAGACTATTCAATTTTAATATTTATCGTTTTGATCGGAACGATAAATAATCCAAAAATAATATTTTAGTGCCAAATGCTTGTTATAAACAATCAATTTACATTGCGGCTGGACTGATTATTATTTAGAAAACCCTCCCAAACTAAATTGGGAAGGAAAAGAAGAAAAACTTTCTAAAGGAGATCAAAATTACTACGTCAGCAACTGCCTATTTGATGACCAGATCACAAGTGGTGCCATATGTTTTCATACATCTCAAGAAACAACCAAACTCTTAGTTGACACCACCAAATTCACAAATTGTAGTAATTCAGGAGATGGAGGATGTTTATACTTCTCCAGTGAAGGTGAATGTGTCCAAGATCGAATAATAAGTGACTCTTCCAAATTAACATCATATGATCGGGGAGTTTATTGTTATTCAGATGTTTCAGACAAAGATTCATTCCAAAACAAAATTCTTTCATCTTCAATCACTAAAAGTGGAAGAGAAAATTTCATTGGATATTTCAATATTTACCTAATTAGCGGAAAAATTAATTTTTCAAATTCAAATATTTCTCATGCAAAAGTTTATGGATATATTATTTTTGGATTTGAAAATTTTAAATCAGAATCAAAAGTTTTATTTTCAATATTTTTTGATAATAAAGATGATTCTTCATATTATGGTCTCTCTGCTTATCTTTGTTCATCATCAACATCAACAATTAGTTATGAATCAACAAATTTCCAAAATATTACTGATGACATTTTAATTCATACAAACAATGTACCACTATTTTTAAAATATTGTTGTTTATCAAATAACAACATTTCTCAGAATTATTTCGATGCATATGATGGAGGCACAATCATAGTTGATAATTGTTTCATTGATGTAGAAAATCCAACAACAACAGGATCAGTTGAAATCAAAAACTTAATAAAATCTTTATCTAACAATGATTATTGTAAGTACTTCATCATTGGAAAAGAAAATCATATTTCAGATATTGATGAAAAACCAAAATATATTAATTTTTCTCTTTTATCTTGTAATTTAATAAACATTTCTTTTACAGTTTGAAGAAATATTGTTATATTCCTCATATAATTTATCATCACCAAATCAGAATTTACCAAATATTCTTCATTTCATCTTTTTTGTCTGAACAAAGAATATCCGGCAACTTTCAAAATATTGTTTATGGTATAAGCTAATTTTAAATGATTACTTACCACTTTCTGACATTCACTCAAAATGTCCAATACAGATCTGAAGAGACATATAAAATAAAACTGTTGTCAGGAAATGTGAAAGAATATCATAAAATAATAATTACACCCTTAAACACATAACTCTTTAAATATATTATTAAAATTCTATTACGATTACCCTACTTTTCCAACATTTAGAAAACATGCATGACCCCCTACCCAGGGTCCAAAAATTGGTATTTTCTGCGCTCAGGCAACATGAGTTTTTGGGCCGCCAAATGAATAGCTCAAATAGTTTCCTCATATAGAGACATGCTTATGCTTAGAGTTTGAAGGGAATCTAAAGTGATTTTTTTCTGCATTTCGAAATCTAATGCAATCTTAAAATCATGATTAAACTGCGAATCTGGGCGCAATTTTTTAATATGTTAATATATGAAGGTACTCCTACTACTGCGAATGCTTCAAATGAAAATTCAAGAAATCAGATTAAGTTGATCACATTAGTATAGTAGTGGTCAATCCAAAAACTCATATGTTGATATATAACCTATAGAGGTGATAATTATCGACTCTTCATTGAAATGCATAAGATTTAATAATCTCATAAATATTCTTTTTAATTTTCAGTATTTCGTGTGCATTTAGATTGCATATACCTGTATATGATATTTCTAGAATGTTTTGGTTAGATATTAGGTTTTTTAGATTAATATTTTAACATTTTGATAAAACAAGCAATTGTTCCATTTTGGAATCGCGATTGAACTCTAGTTTGACTAATATGATGTTGTATGATCAAATGAATTCTAACTTCATGAGATAAAATTTGAAATTTGAAAATGCGATATCTGACTCAAATATTTATCTGAGCACATTTAACATTCAATTATAAACTAAAGTAATATACAGCAGATTCGATTTGGCTTATATTTTAAATATTCAACAAATAATCTTATAAAATTGTGCTATTCACGTTTCTCAAAGATGAATTAAGCATTTACAACTTGTGCATTGATGGAATTAGATATGGATTCTAATGTTAATCGATATTTTGTAAATTGATATATATTTTATCATGGTTTGACATTTGATCGTGTTGAAACCGGAATTGCAATATGCATCATCTATATATATAATTGTCAAAATATGAGCTATAGATTTTTAAATTATGCTCCTGATTATGAGTGACTTATATGATTATATTGAATTGAGTAGTAAGAATCATAAATATTAGAATATTACGATAATGTATTATAACCTTATAGAAGCTTAAGGCTAAAAATGATGATGAAAATGTAGCTCAAATTTAAGTCTAAAATTTGAAAAAATTAAGTGCTTATGATAGTATGACGATATTGGTGTTTGAATGTAAGAAATTAGAGATGTATTAGAAGCATTATGAGAAAATAATAAGATATAAAAACAAATTTTATGAAATAATTTAAGTTATAAGAGGTGTTAACATTGGTAATGTGTGTATAAGATAGTAGAATTGTATTGGATCTTTGATTAGTATTTTATAACAATTTATTAATGTAGATGTGATTAGAATGTTGGATTTCAAAGGAGAAAGCGGATTGTCACTCTTGTTGGTCTGCATGTGTCATTCCGGGAGACATTGCCTGTGCATGTCTCCCAGAATGGCATTTATTGCATCAGAATGATGCGGAACTTTGACCGACAAGAGTGCATTGTGCACTCTTGTTGGTCTGCATGTGTCATTCCTGGAGACATTGCCTCTGCATGTCTCCCAGAATGGGACAATTTATTGCAATCAGAATACGATTGCAAAACTTTGACCGACAAGAGTGCATTGTGCACTCTTGTTGGTCTGCATGTGTCATTCCTGGAGACATTGCCTCTGCATGTCTCCCAGAATGAGACAATTTATTGCAATCAGAATACGATTGCAAAACTTTGACCGACAAGAGTGCATTGTGCACTCTTGTTGGTCTGCATGTGTCATTCCTGGAGACATTGCCTCTGCATGTCTCCCAGAATGGCATACTTTTCCGCATTCATAACTTGAATGCGGAACTTTGACCGACAAGAGTGCATTGTGCACTCTTGTTGGTCTGCATGTGTCATTCCTGATTACATTTTGTTGCACATAAATAAAATCGTTTTAAATTACTTCTTCATTTAAATTATAACAATTATTTTTGGTTTTATATTTTTTTGGATCAAATCCATTTTAATAGAATTTATATACTATTCATCTATTAGTAAACACTACCGTATATTATTTTTTCAGCTATCTTATTTTTTGAAATTTTATTCAAATCTTTGGTCGCAAGAAGAATTGCATGATAAATAAAAAAAAAGGTAGTGGGGCTTCCAGGCACTTCGTGCCCTCTAGCCCCGAAGATGTTTAGTATAAATGAAGTTTTTATTCGGAAAATTGTTAGTCTTCTGGTGTGAATTCGGAGGACTCTTCTTCTTCCTCCATTGCTTCTGGGAAGAAGCCTTCTTCTGGGTCGAAAACATTATATAATGTTTCACTTTTCACAAATTATATATGTTTTCATGTTTTGTCACTTTTCTGTCACTTTTCAGGAAAAAAAACATTTTTATTATTATATATAAATGAATTTTACAAAACCACCGTTACCGTTCTTTGGAAATAAGAGTAAATGTAAAGATATTATATTGAGAGAACTTAAGAAACTACCGAATGGTCTAACATTTGTAGATTTGTTCGGTGGAAGTTTCTATATATCCCATTTGTGCCATACAATATTCCCAGACTCAAAGATTATATGCAATGACTTCGACAACTATATGGACCGTCTCAAACATATTCCAGACACAAACAATATATTGAAAGAGTTAAAAGAAAAGATACCTATAGGTAAGATGGAACGTATACCATTAGATAAGAAAAATATTGTGAGAGAGGTTTTGAAAAAAGCAGAATATATGGACTGGGATAGTATATCTGCTAGACTATTATATAGTGGTGCTATAAGAGTTCATGACATTGAAACACTTATGTCAAAAGTTTTATATCTTAACTATACAAATGTTTTCAAAGAGGACATAGAAAAATATATTGAGGGTATAGAGTTTGTGAGATGTTATTGGACAGAGTTGTATGAAAAATATAAAGACAAGGAAAATGTTTTCTTTATAGTGGACCCGCCGTTCTATAACACATGGGATTTTCAATACCAAGTAGACTGGACTTTGAGAGACTCTTTAGAAACTTTAGACGTTATACATAACCATCCATGCTTTTACTTTACATCCGATAAAAGTGGTTTGGAAACCGTTATGAGATGGTTAGAGGACATACATGACTATGAGTTTAGATATGACAAGATAGAATATGAGAGAGGTCCTATAAACCGGAGAAAGTGTCATAACAAAGAAATTTTATTAGTAAGTAAATGTGGTTTGAAATAGGACTACTTGTTTTAGGTTTTTTCCATTGTGTCATTTATTTCTTTGACGTGGCAGAAAAGTACAGAGAATATGAAGATGAACCAATGCCTGCAAATGTTCAGTATATGTACTCGTAAGAGATATTTTTATCTAATATTAAATGGACGCACAGAACTTAGCGAATGCACAGCAACCTGGACAACCAAACCCAGAGAATATTCCAAATGAAGTTAGAATACAAACTGCAATGGCAAACTATGGTCAAGTGCCAACAGATGTACAAATGCAAACTGCCATGTCAAATGACGCTGCGTTAGGTTTGCCACCATGGTATGCAAATATGAGATGGAAAGAGTTTTATACAAACCCTGAAGTGGGATATAAACAACTTTATGCAGATGACGCGAACACAGGAGTTGACCCAGAATATGTTTTCTACCAGAGGAGAAACAGAATGTATGAGCTCCAGTTAAAGAATGCTATGGAACTCAACAGGAAACGTAAGAGACTAGGCGGACATTAGATTTTTACATATAGTAAAATGGGTTTCTTCAGTAAGATAGGAAACTTCTTTCGAAATGTTGGAAGAGGTATATGGAATGGAATAAAAACCGTAGGAAGAGGAATTTGGAACGGTGTCAAAAATATTGGTAAAAGGGTAGGTCAGTTTGTTGGTATTATACCTAAAGACCCTGAACCAGAAGAGCAAGCTCCTGTTATACAACAGCCTGAACCTGCACCACAGTCTAGTTGGCAACCAAATCCAACACCTCAACCGTATTAAAAAATTATATTTTTACCGTTCGATAGTAGTTGTATATGAAACTAAGTTCTAAGTAAAACGCATGGTATAATGGAATTATTCTTTTTCTTCCATCTGTAGTAAACCATACTTGAAAGTCTGAAATACTTCCACTTGGTGGTTCGTATAACTTTGTAGGTTTTTCGTAAAAGTCATTTGCCAAGCATAAGAAAGAGTTTTGGGCGCCAGAAAATGAAGCATGAACAATAATAGCAGCTGGGTCGAAAACATTTTCATATGTTCCATTAGGGTTTTCGACTTCATAAAAGTCTGGGTGTACTGGATATGCTGCAGGCTGATTTAACATCCTCATAAATCTATACCATGCCAAGTTGTTATATTTTGTAGAAATATAAACGTTTTCTCCAAGGTCTTCTATTCTATTGATTTTAACAGTTGCATTTTTCCTGTCATAAATAATATCGAGATGGTATTCTCCCTCGTCAATGTTATACTGGTTTGCATATTCGATATAGATATCGTTTATTTTTTCTTGAAAAGCTTGAAGAGTTGTTTCTAAGTTTACAAGCAAACTAACTTGTAAAAGTTTTCCCTGTTCAAATTTCTCATACATACGTTTTTCTTTGTTATAGTATCGAACTTCAAAACGACCGTAAATGGGAAACCATGTATGGCTTCTGAAATGAACTTCATTCTACGAAAGCCAATAGCTTTTGTGACCGATGGGTCTCTTAGCCATCTTAATGGGTAGTCAAAACGATAGCCTTCATGCTTTACGGTCTCTGTCTCAAACTTTTGACCGACATTAGTAAAAAGTTCATCTAATGGTTTAGTTGTAGCAACTCTTGAATTTTCTTTTTCTATTGGAAGCATATTTTATCTAGAATAAAAATGTCAAATGAAACAGCGTCTATGAGAGAAATACAACACAACCGACAACTCATTATGCAAGCTCTAAATAAGAACACAACAAACTTTTCAAACTATTCTAAGATATCTGAGTCATTGAAAGAAGGAAACTTAAAACTGACAATAAACCCAATGACAGATGAGTTTCTGTTTCAAGACAATAAGAACCATACTGTCTGTATAAATCCAACAAAAGGAACTTTAAACGAGAAACCTATAAATGAACTTCTTTTGAAAACAGATGTTGACAACAAAGCTGACAAAGAATATGTAGACGATGCAATAGCAAAAGAAGAAGAAAGAGCTAACAATGCTTATGCAACAAAAGAACATACTCATCCTGAACTAGCAGACAAAACATATGTTGACAATAAAATGTCAAGTGAAGTGACGAGAGCTGAAAACGAATATTCTAAAAAGACTCATACACATTCTATATCTGAAATAACAGACTTACAAGAAACCTTAAACAGGAAAAGTGCCGTTGGACATACACATACCATTGCAAATATTACAAACTTACAAGAAACCTTAAACAGGAAAAGTGCCGTTGGACATACACATACCATTGCAAATATTACAAACTTACAAGAAACCTTAAACAGGAAAACTGCCGTTGGACATACACATACCATTGCAAATATTACAAACTTACAAGAAACCTTAAACAGGAAAACTGCCGTTGGACATACACATACCATTGCAAATATTACAAACTTACAAGAAACCTTAAACAGGAAAAGTGCTGTTGGACATACACATACATCTTCTGAAATAACAGACTTAAACGTTAGCCTTGAAAATAAAGCAGATAAAACATATGTCAATGAAATATACCAAAGTTTGATAGGAACAAAAAATATTGAAACTATTGTTGGTGACTTTTCTGTCAATGAAGAAAATAAATATTTTAGATGGCAGTTTGTACAGTCCTTAGAAAATGGTACACGGTGTAAACTCATTCCGAAAAATAACAATGAAATGTATGTAAGCTATAAAAAGAATGATGGTACACAAGTTAAAGTTCCATTAGACAACAACTGCTACTTAAACTTATATGGAGACGAACAAAAGAAATATTTAAGAGTTTATGAAATGACAGATATGACATTGCCTGACCCAGCTCCAGCACCATATTATTATGACTATGGAGATGACGTCAGAACACCACATGTAGATGAACAAAAGCTAACATTATATTTAGATTATTATAGATATAAAAGATATAATGCAATAGAAAAAAACGAGAATAGTATACTATTATGAAGATGACAGAAATAAATATTATAGTCAAGATTTTACCTACCCTGAAAACATAAGATTATATTATAAAAAATATTCTGACACAAACCAGAAGAAACCTGAAATAGTTGCACTATATTTTAAGTTCAAAAGAGACAATCCTATAATGTCTCATATGTTTGATTTAATGAACCCAGTAGGTTCTATTTATACATCTATGGAAGCAAGAGGTCCTCAAGTAATGTTTGGTGTTGGTGCATGGGAACAAATAGTCGACAGGTTTTTGTATTGTGCAAACTCTTCAAAGGAAACAGGTGGAAGTAAAACGATTTCAGGTGAAAATTTACCTGCACACAGTCACTACATAGATTTAAGTACATCTCAAGCAGGTTGGCATAAGCATAGATATTGGGATTGGTCAGGAATGACAAAAGGTAAAGGATATGATGTTAAAGACGACGTTAAGTTTGCTATAAATTGTTACTGGGATGACACGCAGGGAGAAGGAAACCATACACATTTCGTTTCAGGATATACGCAAACAACGGGACAAAGTAAAGAATACATGCCACCTTACATGACAGTTTACGCATGGTATAGAATTGCTTAGTCGTCATTTTCAACTTCTTTAGCATATTCGTCAGGAGTTGTCTTATATTTGTTAGGAACTGTTTTTGAAAGTATACCACCTTGAACTTTGACAAGTTTGAAACGAGGTCTGACAATAGTAGTTTTATCTTCTGCTTGCAGTGTGTACATTTTGCCATGTTTGCCTAAAACTTCATAATATTCTCTTGTATACTTTCTTCTATTTTTACGAACACGAATGTGAGTACCTGTCGGGTTCCCATTGTTGTCATAGTCAATAGTATTTTCATATGGGTCGCGTTTAGGTATTTCTATTTTTACTTTGTCACCTTTCTGAAGTTTGAAGCCCGGCATTCTTTCTTGTTTGTCTCTTTTGACTAAATTATTAAATATATAGTCTTTCTCTAAGTCAGGGTTGTTTTTCATTTCTTCGGGGGAGTGGTTTCCCAAACCTTTTTGTTTACGGCTATTGTAAATATTTAAAACTTGTCTCATCTTTGCCATGGAGAAGTGTCTATATTTGTCGTCATATGACATTTCATTTGCTTCACCACCTTGTGGTTGGTTTAAGTCTCTTAACATTTTTATACAACCGTCAATGACACCAAGAGCAGAATGGTTTTGGTCGACAATGAAATATTGGTTTACATTTTTTGAACGCAGATAGTTTTTTACCTCATCTGATTTGAAAGAACTTTCACAGTCAGATGTCAGTTTTGTTGGATGGTATTTGTCAACGAATATTGTCAAAGCAGTTTTCACATCTAAAATATTTTTGGACCATAATGGTATGGCTTCACAGTATCTTGTGTTTTGACCAACAAATATTAGCCAGTATGGTGGTCCATCTGTTCTAACTCTCGGAATGTTTTCCAAGATATCCATAAACCAAGCATTTGGTGTTGAACTAAAGATTTTTACCATGAGTGCTTTCTTTGTCGCTTTAGAAACATAGGGGTCCTTGTTTGGATTCGTCATTTTTTATCCTATAAGAAATGGGTTTATTTGGCGCATTAGCAGGAGTTGCATCCAGATTTTTGCCCGCAGTGGGAACAATAGCCAGAGGTGTATTTGGAGTTGGAAGGAAGATTTTGAGTACATTAGGTATACTTAAAGAGAAAGCACAACTTATTATACAAACTGTACAGAAAGGTTGGGATGTAGCACGAGATGCAACAAATCTTATTCCAAATCCTGAAACAAGAGGAAAAGTTCAAGGATGGATGGACAATGTAGGAAGACAAGCAGGAAACTATTATAACAAAGCAAATGACTACTATAACCAAGCAGGACACTATATGGACCAAGGTGAAAGATTCTTTAACAGAGGATATAACCATGCACAACAATGGGTAAACAATAACCAACCTCAACCGCCTCAAACGTGGGGAATGTAAAGTTTTTTACTGAGATGAAATGAACAATACAGCATTGAGACAAATGGGTTCAAGATGGATTTGTCGGCTTCCAGCAGTTACACAACGTGTTTGTCAAGTTCTTCCTATACCTCAGGAAGTTTTAGACCGACTTAAAAAACAACAACAACCAGTTGAAAACAAACCAAACTAAATTTTTTTACTGAGATGAAATGACCGAAGAAGTTGAAACGGTAGATTTGACACCACAAACAAAAAGTTCAGAACCATTGTCAAAACCTGTCAAAGAACTTACAGATGAAGAGAAAAATTCAATAATAGAAAGTGCCAGGTCTGGAAATACAAACCCTAACTACAAAGTCACTTTTCATAAAAATGGAACGGCAAGTATCTCAAAAAAGAAACAGACCCTCACAAATAAAATATTGAAGTCTGAAGGAGCTTTCGAGACAACAGATGGAAAAGTTTACTTCACTGACCAACAGTTCATTATAGAACATCTCATTGACTTAGAGTCGAAATATTCTAAACTTTACAACAAACACAAAAAGTTGAAAGGAAAACAAAAACAAATGGCATATGATATTTATGAAGATGTTGACGACACAACTGTTCCTGCAGGTGAGGTAAAGTCAGAGAAACCGAAAAGTGACGAAAAACCGATAGAAGAAGAAAAACCAAAAACTGAAGATAAACCAAAACCAAAGTTTAGTTTGGAAACTAAACCAAGTCAACCTTCATTAGCTGGTATGGGTTGGCGTCAAAGACTTATGGCAGCAGGCGGTTATGTAAAGTAAAGAAAAAAAAATTTTTTTTCTTTTTATAAAAATGCCCCCATATAGAATGGATAGAAAATCTGCTAGAATAAAAGCAGAGTTGCAAAGATATGGTTGGAGAGTTTCGAAGAAGTTTAAATATAGGAAGGGAAGACCCATAAAAGTCTATGACAAATTGTCTGGTCTTCGCTACGAAATGGATTTGGAAACAGCACGTGCCAATTATCCAAACAGACTAGAGAGGTTAGAAGAAGAACGTCTTATGGACATGCCTTTCGATGTTAGTGAACATTGCATGAAGTAAAAATTTATTTTTTAAAAAGTGACATTTTTTAATTTTATTTGAAATGTACGCTGAGTTTGTTGGAGAAGACCGTTGGGAAACTTGTTTGTTAGATGAGAAATATGAAATGGCATACCATTTTAAAACAATATATTTTTACATATATTAAATGCTTCAGGTTGAAAAAACAAAGAACAAAAGTAGCAGATACAAAACCGTTAGACTATATCTTTACAAATGCTGGTAGGACTATTTCAGATGAAGAAATTTCATCCCAAGCATACAGGTTTGACTATCCAATTCGTTGGCTTCAAAAGTCCTTCAGATGCAAAGGCAATAGGATTTAGAAGAGTTTTGTTTTCAAATAGAACTAACGCATTTATGTTCGCAGTATATTTTCATGGGCAGTATAAAGGTTCTGATGGTCTAATAGACAAATTTGACGAAATGAGAATCTTTACAGTTCGTTCAGACGAAAGTCTTGAGAAAACTCTAAATGACTTTCAAACTCAAATGAACAAATATTATTGGGAATTTCAAGAAAAATACGACTCTTTACTAAATGGAACATACTATCTGAAACTAGAATATGACAAGATGAACTCCACCGTTTCATTTCAAAAGATTGAAATTAACCCTCCAAGAGATACAGAGTTTTTATTTTGGGGAGTAGACAAACGTTCTTGGGCACAATTTCTTCGGTTACTAAACCAGAACGAACCATTACCACCAGATGGTCCATTTAAATTTATACTTCCACCAGCAGATTTGACAGTTTATAGAAACGTGTTTGACCCTCAAAATGTTATGTGTCATGCAAGTTTCAGTTCAAGCAACAATAGTTTTCTATGTATTGGTAAGGACTTTTATGACTTTGCTTCTAAATTCTACGAACCACCTAGTAACAGTTTCTCTGACTTTCAAGTTTGGTTCACAACAAATGGTGTGCAACATATTATTCCATTGTACTATGACTTTTATCTCGAATTGTCTTTCATATATAACTACGGAAAAGTGCTGAAAACGTATTGAAAAATAATGTTTATGTTAGCATGTTAGATCTAACACGTTTTCTAACCTCATGAATTTGTCAAGACTTCTTCGTAAATGTTTTGTCAAGACTTCTTCGTAAATGTTTTGTCAAGACTTCTTCGTAAATGTTTTGTCAAAACTTCTTCGTACATGTTTTGTCAAAACTTCTTCGTACATGTTTTGTCAAGACTTCTTCGTAAATGTTTTGTCAAGACTTCTTCGTAAATGTTTTGTCAAGACTTCTTCGTACATGTTTTGTCAAGACTTCTTCGTAAATGTTTTGTCAAAACTTCTTCGTAAATGTTTTGTCAAAACTTCTTCGTACATGTTTTGTCAAAACTTCTTCGTACATGTTTTGTCAAGACTTCTTCGTAAATGTTTTGTCAAGACTTCTTCGTAAATGTTTTGTCATGACTTCTTCGTAATGAGTGTAAAGGACCCAAAAATAAAGTTTATGTTAACATGTTAGATCTAACATGTTTTCTAACATGTTTTCTAACCTCTTGAATTTGTCATGAATTTCCTTAAGATAGAAAAAATAAAGTTAGTTTTATTTTTTTATTTTGTATGTTAGATATGATTTCAGGGATTTTTTTGACGAAGTGTTACTCTTCACTTCGTCAAAAAATAACAGTTATCTAATGAAAAAGTGTCATTTTTTTGTATTTTTTTGTATGTTAGATATGATTTCAGGGATTTTTTTGAAGTGTTACTCTTCACTTCGTCAAAAAATAACAGTTATCTAATGAAAAAGTGTCATTTTTTTGTATTTTTTTGTATGTTAGATATGATTTCAGGGATTTTTTTGACGAAGTGTTACTCTTCACTTCGTCAAAAAAATAACAGTTATCTAATGAAAAAGTGTCATTTTTTGTTTTTTTTGTATGTTAGATATGATTTCAGGGATTTTTTTTGACGAAGTGTTACTCTTCACTTCGTCAAAAAATAACAGTTATCTAATGAAAAAGTGTCATTTTTTGTATTTTTTTGTATGTTAGATATGATTTCAGGGATTTTTTTGACGAAGTGTTACTCTTCACTTCGTCAAAAAATAACAGTTATCTAATGAAAAAGTGTCATTTTTTGTATTTTTTTGTATGTTAGATATGATTTCAGGGATTTTTTTGACGAAGTGTTACTCTTCACTTCGTCAAAAAATAACAGTTATCTAATGAAAAAGTGTCATTTTTTGTATTTTTTTGTATGTTAGATATGATTTCAGGGATTTTTTTGACGAAGTGTTACTCTTCACTTCGTCAAAAAATAACAGTTATCTAATGAAAAAGTGTCATTTTTTGTATTTTTTTGTATGTTAGATATTGATTTCAGGGATTTTTTTGACGAAGTGTTACTCTTCACTTCGTCAAAAAATAACAGTTATCTAATGAAAAAGTGTCATTTTTTGTATTTTTTTGTATGTTAGATATGATTTCAGGGATTTTTTTACGAAGTGTTACTCTTCACTCGTCAAAAAAATAACAGTTATCTAATGAAAAAGTGTCATTTTTTTGTATTTTTTTGTATGTAAGATATGATTTTCAGGGATTTTTTTGACGAAGTGTTACTCTTCACTTCGTCAAAAAATAACAGTTATCTAATGAAAAAGTGTCATGATTTCATCGTAAATGTTTTGTCAAGACTTCTTCGTATATGTTTTGTCATGACTTCATCGTACATGTTTTGTCATGACTTCTTCGTAAACTAAACGTAAATGTTTTGTGAAGAATATAGCAACCGCCGGAATTCAGACGGTTGCTTTTTATACAAAATTCATGCAGGAAATTCTTGAGTTTTGGTTGAAAGAATACGGTGGAGCCAAAAGTGGCTCGACCTCAAAACAAGCATTTTATGAGCTTACAAAGGGTGTTATGAATGAATTCAAATGTATTTACATACATCCTGACCTCGTTCATTTTGTTGCTGAATTCAGCAAAAATAAAGTTTATGTTAACATGTTAGATCTAACATGTTTTCTAACATGTTTTCTAACCTCATGAATTTTCATGACTTCTTCGTAAATGTTTTGTCAAGACTTCTTCGTAAATGTTTTGTCAAGACTTCTTCGTAAATGTTTTGTCAAGACTTCATCGTACATGTTTTGTCATGACTTCTTCGTAAATGTTTTGTCATGACTTCTTCGTAAATGTTTTGTCATGACTTCTTCGTAATGAGTGTAAAGGACCCAAAAATATAATTTAGGGTAGAAGGTTAGATCTAACCTGTTTTCTACCCTCTTGAATTTTCATGAATTTTCCCGAAATAAAAAATAAAGTTAGTTTTATTTTTTTTTATTTTTTTTATTTTGTATAAAAAAATAAAAAATGTCAACAATCGGCACAACAACAACAATTCAAACAACAGCACCAAACTCTTTAGTCATGAATCCAACATCTATGTTAGTAGAGATGAAAAGCTTCATTCCTTCTTCATATACTTTTGAAACAGAAATCCAGAAGATAAAGCAAGAACTTTTAACATGTAATTTAGACTGTAGTGCGAAAGATGAAGAAAATGAACAGTATCTTTATGACATGCAGGACATTATTGACCATTTACCCAAATTGCCTGAAATTCAGCAACAAAAACTAACCATTCCTGAATTCGACGAAATTGAAGTGAAACCAACTGACTCAGTAGAAATAAAGAAGTTCATACGAAAGGTAAACTATGAGTTTCTAGGATTTCATTGCAACCATAAGGTTATGGACAAAGATTGCGACATGGTATATAAGAACATCTCTGACATATATAAATCTGAAGAATTTAAGACCTACGACAACTTTGTTTCGTTAGTTGCTGAATGTGTATGGGAAATAAGAGATAAAGATAGAAGAGGCAAAGTATGGAACAAACAAATAAAACCAGCAACTTTTGAGTTAAAGAAAACCATTGACGCTTTAGTTGTTCTAGCAGGTAAGGTTTCAGAATATAACGCAAAAATGAACCCGCAATGTTCTAAATGTAAAGCAGCAATGAGGAAATATAACTACTCCGTCAAAGAGATAGAAAGAATGAGAAACGACTATGCAGACTTAAAGACAGAGATGTCAAACATTGAGTTTGAAACAGTTGGAAAGATAGACAATGACACCAAAGTGGTTAGAATAGGTGATTTAAACGTAAGATACTCAAAGAAATACAACAAATATTCTTTGTCAGACATTATATCTCCATCTGGAAAGAGACCGCAGGACTGGGTTAGAATTGCTTCTAGTCAGAAAATTTTGACAAGAAATCCTGAGCTTATGATATCGGTAAAATTCTATGGAACTACAGCATATCTCATCGACAAAAGTCTTATACCAATAGTTTTGTTATGGTTAGACCCAGTTGTTGGATATAACTTCATAACATATGGTTCATTCGATACGGAACGTTGCAGTGAAGGCTTACTTTACATCGTTCAGAAACCGAAGGACTTCAACACAAAAAGATATAAGATAGGAAGGACATATAATATAACTCTAAGATATGACAGTACAGTCAATAGAGTCAAGGTTGTGTTAGTTAATGATATGAGAGCTGCTGAAACAGAACTACTTGAAAAGTTTGAGAAAATGTATGGTGCTCCCATAAAAGGTAAAGAAACGTTTGAAGTAGATGAGATAGATAAAGCTATAAAATTATTTGACGAAGTTGCTGAAAAATACATGTAAAGCGTTTATTTTTGGTCTTTTGTGAAAGTCAGAAAATAAAGTTAGTGTCATTTTTTTGTATTTTTTTGTATGTAAGATATGATTTCAGGGATTTTTTTGACGAAGTGTTAACCTTCACTTCGTGTCATAATGTAAAAATAACGTTTACCATGTAAAACGCTTATAAAATAACTGGGGTAGAAAACGTGTTAGAAAAGAGGTTAGATCTAACCATCTACCCTAAAATATATTTTTGCTGAATTCAGCACAAATTTCATGAGTTTTGTATGTTTTAGACCATGTTAGAAAACGTGTTAGAAAACGTGTTAGATCTAACATGCTAACATAAAATATATTTTTGCTGAATTCCGTATGAAAACAGTGAAGAACAGCGAGTAGGTAAGAAACCTTAGTCGCCAAAACTCTATGAAAACAGTGAATTTCCTTAAGATAGAAAAAATAACGCTAATTTTTTATAAAATATTTTTTTATTTTGTATGTAAAGACAGATATGTCAACAACAGAGAACACAACAACAGTTATAGTCCATGAAGCCATAAATGAAGAATATGAGTACATACAGTTTAACAAACAACTCCGTCTCATTCGTTCGGTCAAAGACGATATGTACCAGATGCAAAGTATTTTGACAGCATGTTTTGCTCCAGATACCAAACATACAGACGATTGGTTCAAAAACCAAAGCACACAAGAACTTTTGAGCGAAGCACAGCGAGACCGACTTCCTTCGGGGTCGCCTAAAACTCATGAAAATCGTAAAAATTTGCCAAATGGTTTGAGAGGTTGGTATGTACATAGACTTCTTGTAAATGCTGTTGCAATGTGGGCTTCACCTCGTTATGCTTGGAATATTTACAGACTTCTTGACGAAATTCATAGACAAGAACGTGAAGAGATGGAAAACAAGCTTGAAGCAAAAGACAAAAGCATTCAGAAAAGAATACCACGTTCGGTACCAAAAGGAAAGGAAAAGAACTATAAGTATATGATTTATACTGAAGAGATGGAAAATGAAGAAGATAAAGATATGGTTATGTTGCATTTAGTCAGAAGAAACAACAAAAGCTTTTACGACCTTGCTAAGATTTACAAATCTGACAGAAATTGGTTCTATCGCGAAAACTTACCGATTTCAATGACACCGAATGAAGATGTGAAACAAATAGTTCAAGATACGTTACCTCAAACACACTATGATATTAAAGGTTGTACAATTCTTACCTTCAAAGAAGATTTGCCATTGTTAAAGGAAAAAATAACAGAGTATTTTGACAACTTCAAACAAGTAGAGTAAATTGCACTCTTTATTTTTACGCTTGACTTCAGATGGCTCAAGTAGCTCAATTAGGTAAATTGCCTTGTCAAATCCTTCTGGCATTCCGAGTCCTTCCATCCGACAGGAAAATATTTTCCCGACAACTGGAAAAAATTTTCCTTCCGACAGGAAGAACTCTTCCATCCGACAGGAAAAAATTTTCCTTCCGACAGGAAAAATTTTTCCATCCGACAGGAAAAATTTTTCCAGTTGTCCGTCCGTAAACCATTCAAATTTTCGAAAATTGAGAACTTTTTGGTCGAACTTCAGAAAAAAATTTTCCATCCGACAGGAAAAAATTTTCCCGACAACTGGAAAAAATTTTCCTTCCGACAGGAAAAGTTCTTCCTTCCGACAGGACACAAACGGATGACTGACGTTCCTCTTCCTGAATGCCTTCCAAAGCCAGAAGAACCGACAGCCCCAGCACCACAACAGACTTACTTACTAAGACTAAACACTTAGATTTTTCAAGCTTGACTTTTTACAATTTGAACTTTGTTTGCGTAGATATGAATTCTGAAAGAAGTATGAGGGTCTTGTATGACTTTATACTTCTCCCATAGTTCATGTCTGTCAAACTTACCTGCCATGGACTCTTTCATAAGTTCCATGAAATCGTCTTCGGACAATCCGGGGAAAAGTACAATGTCAGTAAGTATTCTTTTAACATCCTTACTTAAACTCTTTGCTGTCTGTACACAAATGACAACTGAGATGTTAAAGTGTCTGAGCTTCTTAAGAATTCGACACATATCTTGTTCTCTATTCTTTAACAAAGGATGAGAGGCGAAATCATCTAAGATAAGAAGACATCTATGAGGGTATGTCTTCCAATCGTAAGATTGCAATTTCTTCGAAATGTATTCTATATCTCTTTCTGTTTGTTTCTGAAGTGTTTCTTCTCTAATATTCTCTGCATTTCCTCATTTGGGTCTTTAAACTTAGAATTTATATACTCATTTATAGCATTATACTTCAAAACTCTTCTTTGGTACTTCTTTATCCAATCTAACAACTCAGAGTCTTTTATACATACTAACTTAGACTTCTTTATAATATCTTTGAACGAATTGACGGTTTGGTCAAATTGACCAGAAGTACTACAAATGACAACTAACTCATAGAATGGGTTCTTCTCATCTAGTTCTTGTTGTTGTGCAGCCATTTTAAGATAAGTGAAAGTCTTACCCGACCCAGGTGGTGCAATTAGACCTGTTATACCATTCTGAGCAAATAAGAACTTGTCATGTATGGGTTTTATCTGAGCATTTTCTAACTTCCTCTTGTTCTTGTTTAAAACATTCTCAAATTTTTTGTCAATGTCAGCAAACTTTTTTTCTAACATATTTTTAGAAAAATTAAAATTTTTTATCTTTTAGAAAATGTCTAGCGATTTCGCTATCTATATTCGAGACAAGCTTTTCGACAGCAAAACATCTGTCGACCATAAAATCTTACATAGTGTAAACAAGAAAGGGGAATTTGTTCTAAAGTTCTGTTTCTGGGAATATGACAAGAACCATAAAACATTAAGCAGAGCAGTCTTAAAATTTGTCAATGACAGACTTGTTGACAGAGATGACACCGATTGGAAAGATGAAGTCCAACAAAAGTTCTTAGAATGCAAAGAAGACACATGCGCTGTTCTTGAAGATGAAATAGAAAACAGAATAGATGAGCTATTAAAGGACAAAGAACTTTTACATAAATATAGTTGCGCCAAATTTGACATAAACTCCACCAGAAAAGAAGAAGAAAGAAAAGAAAGAAAAGAAGAAGAGAAGAAAGAACCTGAACCAGTTCCAGAGAAAAAAATTTTGACATGTAAAAATAAATTTTATTTTTAGAACATTTCTGGTCAATGTCAATGTTCTCTTCCTCTTTAGGAGTAAACACTGGCTTAGACTCTAAAATCTTTTTACCCAATTTACCTTGAACTTCTACAACTTTAGACTCATAATATTCATAGTCGTCTGCTTTCTTTGGTTCATAAGGTATAACAAGTTTGTATGCTTTGCCTTCTTTAAGGTTTGAAAACCTTCTGTCAAAACTTTCTTTGACTGCTAACAAACCTTCTATGTCTAAGTCTTCAAATTTCGCACCATTTTTAGTCACAATAGCAAACTTAACTGGTTCGATGTTCCAAACTTTGCTGAATGAAGACTTTTCAAAATGGTAGAAGTAAACATTCAAATATGTGAATGGGTCTAGTTCTTCTTTAAGTCCTGACATGTACTTGTTTACTGAGATGAATTTTGCCATCTTTTCTATCGGATAAAAAATATTTTTTTAAAATTTATCATAAAAAATTTTCTTTGTATATACACCATTCTGAACATCTAAAAGACTTTTGACATTTGCCAAGAATGTTCGTTTAGACGCTGTCATATAACCATATTCTTGACAATATTGTTTATACGAATCGTACAATGACCTTTCATCTAAACACTCAAAGTCAGTTTCATCTATGAACAGTTCATATACACTCTTGTTTGCTTCTAACAATGTTTGTCTCTCTTCGGTATGTGGAATTTGTCTTGGATTGAACTTAGAAATATCTAATGTCATAAAATATGAGAACAAGTGGTTGTAAAAGTCAGATGTCAAAGTTTCTGCTAAGTCGTCAAAATATTCTGTATCTTGCATATGAGCTTCTGACGTTTCTGACAACTACATATCTTCTGTCAGAACTTTCTAACTTCATCGGAACAGCATTGTTTGAAACCATAATGAAGTTTGCAACATTTTCACAAACTCTTTGGTCTTTATATTTTCTTTCAACAACTCCAACTTTGTCTGTTATAAGACTCTTCAAAGCATCTGAGTTCAAAACTTTTGTTGTATCTATACTTTGAAGTTCATTGCAAACTATAAGTTTCATATTCTCAATAGAAGAGTTAAACTTGCCACAGATGTTTTCTAAGTTTGTCATATTCGGATTCGAATAACCTTCTAACAGTTTGCATAAGATATCTGTAAAGAATGTGTTCTTACCTGTTCCTTGTTTTCCAATTATAATGAGAGCAGTTTCATTTTTAGCACTTGGATGTTGTAAGATGTTTGCAAACC